CTATATAACAATAAAGATCCCTAGTACACGATGTTGTTGCTACATAACAATGAAGATCCCTAGTAAACGATGTTGTTGCTACATAACAATGAAGATCCCTAGTAAACGATGTTGTTGCTATATAACAATGAAGATCCCTAGTAAACGATGTTGTTGCTATATAACGATGAAGATCCCTAGTAAACGATGTTGTTACTACATAACAATGAAGATCCCTAGTAAACGATGTTGTTGCTACATAACAATGAAGATGATACTGGAGTTGCTTGGCTCGCTAATTGTAACCTAGGTCATAGAAACAATTAATAAACAGTATAAAATGACTTATTTTGGGTGACATACTCAACATTGGCCCGTATTCTTCATACCATCTTATTATTAAATTAGCAATACGTGCTTTCTTACACAACTATAATCCAGGTCATGAGAAGAAAGTCAAATTTTCGAACTGCAAGCATAAGTTTTAGAGACGAAAGAACTTTGAATGAGATGTAGGAAGAAGGTGAGAGAGAAAAGTATCCAAAGCTTGAAAAATGTTGGTTATTATTTCCGTTCCTTTCTTGTGTTTATAGCTGCAGTTAAAGTTGAGTTACAGAAATGTGACGTAGGTTTTTTATTCCGAAGTTCTTAGGGTAATTATATATTGTTTAATATAAGTAATTAAACCCATTTATTAGAAAACACAATTATATCTATATATATATTATGTAATAATCTGGAAAAAAAATTAAAGCAACTTGGGCGTTATAATAAGATACCAAAAGAGATTATGATCACAGCCTAAGTAAAACTACTTTATTCCAAAATGGCGTTAGTTTCTCTTCACTAGAAGCGTATCATTATTTCGTACTTCTTAGCGTTTCGCCTTGAAAGGATCAAGAAAGTGAAACTGTAAACAGGGGCGCTGATAAATTTCATTTTTAAATAAAGTACTTTTGCAATGTCTCTGGTCATCGCTTACATCTACTGTGTAAATTACACACATACACACTTGGATGGTTCTGGAACTCCGATCACGTGATACACATACATCTGTCACGCAAATATAATCAAATCCCAAAACGTCTCCAAACCTTTGCTCTTTCCGAAAGTAAATATTGAATCAGGTTCACCGCACTCATCAGCAAATTGGTTACGAATGTGAACCCTCCGACCCCAAAATTCTTTGCGTTGAAGCTGAATATACCTCTTGATATTGTTAACAATATATTATACAAGTATCTGAGGCTAGAGAAGCCTCACAGCTTGTTTAGAAAGACAAAGAAACTGGAATTCTAGCAATCACATTTGACCACATACCAATGAGTTTTCACGTTGCATTTGTACTGTACTTGTTAAGCTTTTCGTGTGCGTAAGTTTGGGCTTAGATGTCATAGGCCTAAGACATAGATTTAAGGTACATCAGAAAACATGAGTAACATCTAAAATGAAATAGCTAATTTAACAAATGCGGTAGAGATGGCATAATAAGAATAAAGACATCCTCGAATCGTACAATAAATACAACAGGGGTCAGCCGTGGCCTATTGGCAGTGTGCCGAGATGTGGATCGAAGGTCCAAGATTTGATTCTCACGAATAAACACACTCTGAACTTTCATTTACGGGGACTTATCTTGTGACCGTCAATCCCGCTTAAGATAGCCACGTAATAGGCGGTGGGTGTTGCTGACTGGTTGCCTTTCCTCTTATCGGTTGTTCTAAATTAGGGATGGCTCTACCTGAAATTTAGGGGGTCTCTGTTTGTTTGTCTTTGAATTTCGCGCAAAGCTACACGAGGGCTATCTGCGCTAGCCGTCCCTAATTTAGCAGTGTAAGACTAGAGGGAAGGCAGCTAGTCATCACCACCCACCGTCAACTCTTGGGCTACTATTTCACCAACGAATAGTGGGATTGCCCGTCACATTATAACGCCCCCATGGCTGAAAGGGCGAGCATGTTTGGTGTGACGGGGATTCGAACCCACGACCCTCAGATTGCGAGTCGAGCGCCCTAACCACTTGGCCATGCCGGTCCTTTTGAAAATGTGCTGCAGGTGTGAGCTGCCACTGAATTGTACAATAATATTAAATTAGATTAATTAGTTCGTCATTGTTTTTCGGAAAATTAATAAGAGTGAACACGGGGATTTAGAATTCCACAGAAGTGATCAACTATTGCAGACCCTTTAAGGGAATGCGACACAAAACGGCGTGAAACACTACATTCTACTGAAATTGTTGTTTGGATTGTACTAGCCGTTGATGTCGCTACCGTGGCCACACAACCATTGTGCGTGGTATCTAATTTATACGGCCCGGCATGGCCAGGTGGTTAGGGCGCTCGACTCGCAATCTGTGGGTCGCGGGTTCGAATCCCAGTTCCACCAAAACATGCTCGCCCTTTCAGCCGTGGGGGCGTTATAATGTGACGGTCAATTCCACTATTCGTTGGTGAAATAGTAGCCC